TCTTGAGGTGACAATTTTTGTCCGATTTTGATGAAACTTAAAACATATCTTTATATCCCAAAGATCTGTCCCTTTTGATATTTGCGCATTTCAGACCATAACTTTCTTGATTATTGCCCCCGATTGTACAAAAAATCCTGTTTTTTTAGGTTTTTTTTAGATTGTTCTCTGTCCATCTCTTGCAAAATTTGGGCGTATCCTGCCTGACAGCCGCTGGTTTATTGAGTAGGCCTATATGTAATTCTACATAATGTGTTCTAGTCAAGCAACCTCTGATACAATGACATATGTCATGTAGGTTTGGTTATACGTTATTATTGGCAGATCTATTGTTTTTGCTCATCAAATGTTATTATAATGTGTTGATAAATCAAATGCTATTATTGGCAGATTTCATGCAGAGATACATCTTTTGAGTGTAAAATGTTATTATGAAGATACATGTGTGTGGAATGATCAAAGACTCAAAAGTTGACTATGTTATTATAAAGATACATATTTTGATTAGTCTAATGTTAGTGTAAAGATGCATATTGTTAAATGACTCATATTTTAAAGATACATGTGTTGAAAGGTATATTTGTTTAATAAAGTTTAAGTGTATAGTTATAGTTATTTAATTTTTATATGGCCACATTTTCATATACATGAGCTAGTGAACTCAGCCGGGTCGTTACAAAGTTTTATTTTTTTATTTCAACCGCCAAAGCGTACCGTGATCGATTCAATCTTAAGATTATCATAGACGCAAGAAAGGGCTTATTTACATTTCTGCTAACTGTGTCACATGACAAAAACCCATAGGATTTTACTTACTGTATGACCACAAAAACCTAGAGGATTTATCCTTTAAGACTTTCGCTAGGGTTAATCTCATTAGCAGTACTGTGCTAAACTTTGACTGGAATATTAAACATTTCGAATAAAGGGTGGATTTTCATATCTACATATCAAATGCCTGGATAGGGGTAGGTATTAATATCTCTGTTCAACGGACAGGTAGGTTTTGGGCTGTAAACGGGGGCTCTGTTGGAGGCATAAAGTGATGCACACGTAAAATATCTAGATTGGGCGCCAAGGGTAGCCCTGTTAGACGCATGGATTAAATATTTGTATAAAGGGATGAGTTTTGGCAGTAAATGTCGCTAGATGCATACATTACAAATCTTGGCAAAAGCCGCTCTGTTCAACTGATACAGTAACTGTCTGGTCCGAGGGGTGGATTTTGCCTAAAAATTCTGTGCGGTGTTTTCAGGTGGATTATCGCTACGCCCGACCCCTTCCAGAGGGGTGATTGACACTAAATTATTAGAGCAGGTACCTCAACCAATCGCCCCCTCGCCCAGAAAAATGTGGATCCCCTCGGGCCCATAGGGGCCGAGTACAGACCCTTTTTCCGAGCAAAATTGGGCCGAATTCGGCCCATGAATCGGTGACCTTGAATCTTTCAGATGACCTTGACCTACCGAAGTCATGTAGGAAAAGAGGTCAAAGTCCGGTGGGCATGACCTTATCTGGGGCTCGCTAGCGGCAAAAATCAAACGGCGGATCAAGGTTGACGATTTTAAAAAATGAAGAACAAATGTTGTGTCGATCTATCAGGTCACCGTGTTCCGACCCGATCGGACGACCTTGACCCACGCCCCCGGTCTGGGTCCGGAGGGACACACACGGTCAGCCCGGATCTGTACCCAAAAATTAGAAAAAATAATGATTGAAATAGGACCGTAAAAGACAAAAAAATGCCCTGCAGCTGCTTTCTCCAGGTCAAAGTTCAGGAAAGGTGGCAAGGGTCTCGGAAGTGGACCCCACAACCCTCCACCGCCCCATAATTGGTCCCTGCGAATCAGGACATGCTCTCAGAATCTACTTCTGGTCAGGCTCAGAGACCCTTCGAGGCCTTTTGGTGTAAAAGAAAATCTCGAGTTCACCCACTTCCGGTCGTAGTTGGTGACTTCTGAGGGACCGGGGCGACTCCCCGAGGTCGATATACTTCAAGAATACCGAACCCGTGCGTGCATGTGGGTGTTTACAGAGGGTAATCGGGTGTTTTTTGGTCAAAATTAAACCCACCCACCTCTGCCCTTATAGTATTATCAGTAGGCCTTTAATCAGTCTTATTCGTATTATTATTATAATTATTATTATCAAAGTCGTAGCCCCTGGTATTATCAGTCTTCGCCGTAGCCTATAATAATGACGTTATACCTATAACTCCCCTTCGATTGGCTGTAACTTTCTCAACTGAAATTCAATAACCCTTTTTCAAAAGTAATAAATTTTAATTAAGTTATGAATTATTAACTTGGCCCCTTTGAACCGCAATAATTTAAACATGCATTATGCAAGAGCTAAATCTGTCTATTGCAGGTCTTTCTTTAGGGTTGAAATGTTATCTAAATTATTAATTAGACATTAATTAACTTATCCAGACCATAATCAACTCTAGATGGCATCGCTAGCCTGCGATCTTTAGTGGATTGTGATCCGATTTACTGCAGAACTTTCCTTCTCGATTAAACGATTAAATGGATAATCGAGACTATGTTGTTTAACGTACTGACTTTAGTAATGATGACCGAGGCTAGGCAGAAATTTCATTCGTTTAGTTCTCGGTTCATAGTGGATAAATTTGAATGAAATTTTCAGCAAATTGCCTTTACGTTATCTTACGGAAGCTTTAAACCCAGGGACAGTCGTGATAACTGCACAAAAAGATTTTTTTTTTTAAGTTATTGTGGATAACCGAGCCTAAAACATACTTGTGTTTTTTGAAAGCGAGCCTTTATTTCCCCATGATGGAGGTCATAAATTTACCGCACGGTAAAAACGGGTTGCCGTTTACCCCTTATAGGCCAATTTATTTCGTTGTCATTATCCCCTTCTAGGCGGTAATAATATTGGAACGGGTGATAAAATGGATAATGGACGGTTATGGCGTTATTGAAACGAGAATAATTCGGATCAGAGTGAAGTATTTTGACTGAAATATTCAGAATATCCCTTTTACGTTATCTGTTTTTTTGGGGTTTTTTTTTTAACTATTATAGCAAGAACTGTCAGTTCTTTATCTAGTCGCCTATATTGCTTCATAGATAAATAAGTGCATGAATAATGTCATGCGAAGGCCTGTCTTGGCCGAATTCTTGCCGCCCTAATGGTATTGTGAACATTCTAGAATCTGTTATTTGAAATTCGACATTCAGACAAGTGCGTTAAAAAAAAATTAGCACACATTTTTGAGACCGTGCCACGGTCATCTTTTCAAAGATCGATTCAAACAAAGAAAAATGGCATTTGAAATAATTGACAAAGTTATACCCCAGTTGAAGGGAGACAACCACACCAACTACTCATCACAAACTATGTTAATTCGCATTAAAACATTGAAATTGCTTGTTAACGTCTAAGTTACATTGTTGGTATTCGGTAAATTGGGCTGCCGAGTCATTCCTCTAAACTAATCGTGCTCAGGGCTACCAGAACTGTACCCGGGATTCGACAACATCACACCGGGTTTAGACAAATCAAATTGAGCCCCATTTACCTTACTCCCCGTAGCGTTCGTTCTACACAATTTGCGTACAAAGAGCGGCCATTTTGTCGGGCAGTTTCATTTCGATTTTCCCGAAATACGAATTCAACCTCCATTATGGTGGAATGGTGATGTATTTAAACGTTTTTAAAATCGGAAAAAGTTGTGTACGGCAGATTTGGCCCGATTTTCATGAAATTCGAACACAACAAACATTACGGTGTAACGGTGATATTTTTGCACGTTTTTTTTTTTTTTAAATCGGACAATAATTGTGATTCGTACAATCAGGGGCAATAATTCAGGAAGTTATGATTCGATATGTCCGAAAATAGAAAGGAACCAAATTATTTGGGTTATAAACATGCGTTTCAAGTTTCACCAAATTCAGATGAAAATTGTGACCTCCAGAGGGTCCAAAACCCTGATACACAATATTTTGACACTATCTGCGAACGAGGGGCGGCCTTTTTGTCCGTCAGTTTCGGTCAGTTAGGGATAGTGTAACGGTTTTTTTTAAATCAGATAAAAATTGTGACCTCTATGGGGTCTACAATTCGAACTCAACCATCCTTAGGGTGTAACGGTGATATATTCAAATGCTTTTTTTTTTTAAATCGTCTGCCTACCGACGAATTGTGAGTTGTGGTCCACAAGCTAAAAACGCGATTTTTCGTAAAATCAAGGGTCATAATTCAGGAAGTTATGGTCCGATATGCGCGAATATCGTCAGGAACCGAGATCTTTGGGTTATTAACATGCATTTCAAGTTTCATTAAAATCAGATGAAAATTGTGACCTCCAGAGGGTCTACAATCCTGATACACAATATTTTGACACTATTTGCGAACGAGGGGCGGCCATTTTGTCCATCAGTTTCGGTCCGATTTTTATGAAATTCGAACTCAACCACTCTTAGGGTGTAACGGTGATATAGTGTAACGTTTTTTTTTTTCAGATAAAAATTGTGACCTCTGTGGGGTCCACAAGCTAAAAACGCGATTTTTCGTACAATCAGGGGCCATAATTCAGGAAGTGATGGTCCGATATGCACGAATATCGACAGGAATCGAGATCTGTGGGTTATTAACATACATTTCAAGTTTAAACCAAATCGGATAAAAATTGTGACCTCTACAGTGTTCACAAGTTAAAAACGTGATTTTTCGTACAATCAGGGGCCATACATTTAATCAACTGTCCAATGTTTTAGGGAAGACCCCATATCAAAAAACACTACCTGTCATGTTAATGTGTCATTTTATTGTTTCAACAAACTGCATAGAACTATACTTCCAAAAATGCAACTTTTGATTGGACGATAAAATAGACACTCGGTCAAAGCCCCAACTTTCGCCTCCAAGTGCAGCAATGGCTGGAGCAGATTTTACCAAGAGTAATCCATTTTTTCAAAAATGCAAACAAAAAACCCCACCCAAACCCCGTTTAAAAAATGAAAACTTGACTTGTTAAATGTCTTTATTCTTTTGCCATGATATATTTATTTTACAGATTCACATAATAATATACTGTTTTTGGCGCCTTAGTTTTCCAGAATACTTGATATCTCTTCTCACTACTAACAAACTTTTGCATTCTTATATACAATTCACAAAATCCCATTCTGGTAGGTAAGTTCAACGGTGAGCTAATCTGTCAGAAAAGAAAAAAAGTTCATAGGCCTATCCATTATCCTATCTTGATACAATGTTCAGTTCATAAGGTTTTGGAGATAATGTTTTTCCATGGAATCCATGGAAATTAACTTCATTTCCATTGACTCGTGTAAAATCATACACTTGTAGTAGATTACTGAAAATTAGGAAGAGTTCACTTCTGGCCAGACTTTCACCCAAACATTTCCGTGGTCCTAAAATAATAAAACAAATAATAATTATGCCATATTAGAAAGAGGGAGGAAACCGGAGGACTCGGATAAAACCCACTAGGCTGGACAGGCGACCCTACTCCTTGTCACGTACAACAGAGGAATCGAAACCACGCCAGTTGACTCAATGACAGACCTTATGATACAGCGCGTACGTGCTAACAATTCGACCATCCACCCCCCGCGATAGCCTAGTTCTGAGTAATCAGTGCGGCTTCGTTAATACGATTTAGTCTAGATTATTTTGAATGATGTCCCACACCCAGGGCACTGGTGGACAGAAACTATAATGGCTCCCTTATTGATACTGAGATATTACCAACCTTCAGAAAATGGCATAAAAGCCTTTCTACAAATTAGGTGTCCATTGTGGTCCAGAAATCTCTCTGGTTTAAATAAATGAGGATCTTGCCAGTATTTGGGATCTTTATGGACAGACATTAGATCAATAATAACAATAGAGTGTTTAGGTAATGAATAGCCTTGAAATATGACATCCTCCGTTAAACCATGAGGAATTGTAGTCGGTGCTAAAAAGAAAATAGTAAAATGGTGTAAAATAGTATAATGGTATAAAATAGTATAACGTATGAAATAGTATAACGGTATAAAATACTACAATGGTATAAAATATTATAATGGTATAAAATATGAAAGCAAGTATTCAAATATTATTCCTTAATGAGCGTTGTCCCGATCTTGCGATACATCAAGTGCTCCGAACGGGTAGGGGGAATGAAGGACTTACCAACGTTACAAATCCGCTGAATTTCATTTAAGGTTGCATGAACGTAGGGCAGTTTACGCCTGTCAGCTAGAGATACACTGCAACCATTTCCTACCACCTGCAAAAGTCATGATTAATATCATAATGCAGTCACATTTCAATGTACGTTTTTTTTGTGGATATTTTGGTGATATTTCGATATTTTTATAGTCTCTTCATAGTATATGTTGAACTTCATTGGTACATGAGGAATTGTAACATTTTCTGTTTCGGATTACATCTTCGCTGTTAAAGATACATTCTTACGAAAGTATTTATATGGTAGTTATTTCCAATAAAAGTATGGCAAATTTGGTATAAATGGAAAGTAGTGACCCCAAATCTTACTAAAAAAATGCCGGATTCCAGAAAAACACCTATGAGGCAAACACTGGGCAAAATGTCAAGGTATCACTAACTGGCAACCCGACGGCTTTTTGTCTGCCAGCTTGACTTATAGGGAGCGCTTGTTATTTTGTTTTTTGATCGAATGATTAGGGGTTCGGCGGTTATGGGAACATTGAGGGGTTTAAAGGTACAAATAATTCTGCAAATAAACAGCCAAAAAAGAAATTGACAGAAGATAAGCAAGGAATTTACTTAGGCTTCAATATGTATGGCAAATGAAAGTAAGTAACGACAAATACATTCTGTAAATGCCCCCCCCCCCTCAATCAAGTTACATGACAAACATGGCGCCTAAATTTTTTTTTTATATACCTTGGGGTATTTCCTCGCGATTACTCGTTTTTTAATGCAAATTTTTGAAGGATAAAGTAGTTGAAATATGTTTTTAGTCCAAATATATCATCAAATCAAACATTTTGTTCATGGGAAGGTATCTTTACGGTTTGTGAACGTCATATACGTTACAGTTCTCTTTAAAACTCGACCGGATTTCTGGTTGAGCATGGGGATTAAACAGAGAAATTCATAATATTTCAAGGGTAAATGTCAGAGTTATTTGGCCGTCTACGTTTAGAGTTGCCTGGGAGGTGTCGGTTGGCCTAAAATCAGGTAACCTGACACGTCTATATTTTACTATACACCGTTTTCGCGCTTTGTTGGTCTTTAGCGTCATTTTAGAGCCCAACCGACTAAATAATATCTATGTCTGACTAACTTTGGCAATCTCTTCCTGGCACTTTCTCTGTATCTCGGGATAACCAATCATATACAAGAACACCCAATCTAATGACGTAGCTGTTGTTTCTGTCCCAGCACCAAAGAGATCTAGAATCATTCGAAATATATTTCCAACTGAAAAAGAAAAGGAAGGAAAATCCACCAGTATCAAAAATGTCTGTTTTTTGCTATAGTAATGTCTACAAACCCGACGCTGTCGTCACATCCGAATTGCTTAATAAAGTGAAATTCATTATCTGCTCACGGTTGTCGCCTGAATAGCTTAACGGCGTTTTTACACATGGCTATATAGGTCAAACTACACCCACTTGATATCGAATGGGTATTATTAATAGTAACTGACTACTGCATATGCCCGGGGTCTTTATAAATGTGTATTCCTATCAGGAGAGCAAACGGACAATATCATTTACTGACAGGTAGGCATCGTTAATTTGAACAACACTGCAATCAGATAAATAAACAACCGTAGCGTAATTAACGTCGAGTCCATGTGGTATATTACAATATTATTTGATATGATAAAACAGTCGATAGTAAGCTCGTGACAGATGCACAACAAAACATTATGGAAATGAATTGAATTGAAATAAAATGGGGGGGGGGGGGGGTAACGACCTATAAGTATCTGCACCAATCGGACTAATGTAGACGTGGAAATTTTGACCGGACAGTGGCTTTTGGAAGATAGTAAGCTTGATAAACGTGTCTTACACTTCAATCAAATCAGGTCAAGATAGTTGTTATCAACAAGTGTGTCGGACTTTCGATCCCAGTGATGGAAAATTTATGATCGGGGTTAACTGAATCTGTCAACACATCATAATAAATACATTAACTTGTAGATGTTTTATTTTTGGTGGAAACATTTATTGTCAGATCCAAAGGTATTGATTATACAGCTGAAACATTTTATAGCTTAAATTCTTTTTTATGTCCTTTCAATAGACGTTAAAACTAACCATTTAAAGGTGAGATTTTGTTATAATGGACCAAGTCAAGTCCTTTCTATATTTCTAATTTAAACCGAGAAAATTATAATACTCGCGGGAAACCGACAATAACAACGGAAGTAAATAAAATGTAATGAAATGGGGTTTAACGTCCTACTGTTCTGCCAGCGGCAATACGGCCTACTCTTACATCGAATTCCAACTGTCAAGAGATATTTTACGTGCACGCCAATGTGCACACGGGACCTCGGGTTTTCGTCACATCCGAACGAATAGACATCATCTGTCCTTGTCTGGCCCTCTGTCCTGCATCACTGACGTGGGGGAACCACGCCGGAAAATTTGGATGAACTTTCTCGGTCAATGCAGGGAACGAACACCTGACCTCCAGGCTAGAGAGCCAGCGTCTTACCCACTTAGTCACCGTGATCCCCACAACAAAAGTAAAGCGAGGGTGCACGTATCTGAATTATAGACAGACTGGTGTATCCACGGATAAATGGCTGCTAAAAGGGTGACAGGCATAAGGTTAGTGCGACCTGGCAAATTGAGACTACAACCACTTCCGAGGCGAAACTCGAAAAGTCGCCAGTACGACAGCAAAGCAAAATGATAGGTCGCTAATAGCGCGTGTGTTTATTTCTTAATTTCTACTTTTCGAGTTGCATTATGGCTTGGTATGCGTGTTGGCGCCTTCTTACTGACAAAAATAGATACAATAATATGAATAAAGCCGAAAATAAGAAATTATGAAAAAAACGAGGGGCGTTTTTTTCTCGCGGTGTAATATTTCTTAATTTTCTATTCTTCGAGTCGATTTTGGCTTGTATAGCGTGCTATCGCCTCACATTTTGTCGTAACTTATACTTTCGACTTTCGTACTTTCGTGTTTTGAAGGGGCGATAAGTAGAAATTACGAATGGTAGTTATAGGCTTCTATATAATAGGTCATTAGCTAGATTATCCGGTCTTTGATATTATCATAAACAAAGTGTAAGGGGGGGGGGGGTAACTAGTCCTAAAACAAAATGAAATTAATTTAAGAATGCCATTTCAGAAAATCCATGTCATTTCAGAAAATCCATTTGATTGCAACAATATCCAACACTCTTAAAACATTTTATTGTAAAATTTCTATCTTCATGGGTCATATCTATGGGTTTTTTTTAAATTTTAATTACGATTCATGTTTGTTTATAATAATGCAAGAATTATCGGATTTATTGCGGGAAAGGGTGCAACTCTTACTTGACTTGGCTAAATATATTGGTTACGCATAGGCAATGGTCCCAGACCCTACGTACTTTGAAAACTAGGAGATTCTGGGTGATCGAGACTACAAAGGGACCCCAAACTACGTGAGAACATTAACTTCTCTAAGGGCCCCCAAGCCTATAACCATACTCACAGGCTCCACAGTCTTGTTAGTCGCTTGGGATTAGGATAAAATTAGAAGCTTTCCGCGCAGAATTAAACTGTTTTATTCATTAGCATATAACTGGGATTTTTCCTTTGATGAGTAATCATATAATGGTATTATTCGGTCGTCTAGTTGTAGCTTTGTCCTTGAAATTGAAATATCCTTAAACACTCTGGTCCAAAGGTGTAAACGATCAACTGAATAATTATGTCTGTAATAGTTTACACACTTTTATTTTTTTACAGAAGGAATCGATGTACGAGACAGATTTTAAAGATGCATATTTCTGGATGGCAGCAGCTAACATCGTCTTCAATCCACTCTTCTGGAACATCGTGGCCAGGTGGGAATATCGCACCAAGGGGTTTTCTAAAGCTATAGGTTCTTCGCGTGTTGCATGTATCATGCTAGCGGTGACAATTGTTTTATTAGGTATTCTTCGAGACTGGCTCTTCGGGAAGGCGGTACAAGCCCAACCGCGCTGGCTACCTTTTCAAGACAGTCGGATTTTATTAGCCGGATACGCGATAATTAGCATCGGTTGTGTATTAGTTATTTCCAGTTTCCTTTCTCTAGGCATATTTGGAACTTTTCTCGGTGACTATTTTGGAATACTAATGAAGGAGCGAGTGACTGGATTTCCATTTAATATAGTAGATAATCCAATGTATTTGGGAGCAACGCTCAACTTTTTAGGTTATGCCGTAACAGAAGCAAGCCTTGTTGGATTTCTCTTGACGTTTCTGGTAGGTGTTGTGTATAAGATAGCTATACTATTTGAAGGAGATTTCACCGACAAGATTTATCAAGAAAGAGTACAAATGTCAAGAAAAGAAGTTTAAATGACCCTTTTAAAGTAAATGTGCCTTTTCGTTGAAATAAAGTTATTAAATTTGATCTGAAGCAACAACCAGCAATACTGTGAAATTCACAATTATGTGTACGAGCGTACACGCAATAGTCAATCCAATGGATAAAAATCATTTATGTCGGGCGACCATTTTGCAAGATCACAAGCTATTGTAACTTGCGTTAATTGACAAAACAAGAAAACGATTGTTTGCATTAAACAGTAATTGATGATTTCGGAGCAAAGAGCAATTCCCTGTCATTGAATATCAGTCGGAGTTAACATTCAATCAACACAAAATAGGTCAGTTCGGGACTAACGTGCTTTTATTTCAAACCTGGAGATATCCCACATGACGTTCCGCCCCTTCCATTGTGTAGAAATTGTTTAAATGGGTATACAATTAAATTACCTGTAATTATATCTTCATCTTCTTCAAGGGAGTTTTTTGTTTGTAGATAAACATCTATAAAATCTCTTATATTATTGGTATCAAAGGTTTCTTTATGTTTTTCAACTTGATCGACTGTAAATTCACTCCATACCTTGATAGGTGCCATTATTGTAGAAACGTCCTGTTAATTATAAAGCAGTAAAGAGTAAAATAATTCTATGTCACGGAATATGTCTGCTCATTTCATGAAATGAAATGGGGTTTAACGTCCCACTTTTTCTACACCGACTGGGCTAATGAAGACGGGCAGCGATACCACGGCCTATTCCAGCTATCAAGGATTCTTTTACGGGATCTCAGTTAATCGTCCCACCCGAACGACTAGATACTTTACTCTCCAGGTCATATATCCTGCATCGCCGACTAGGTGAAACCACACACGAAGAAATCCCGAGAACCTCTCTCGGTCAACATCGAGAGCCAGCCCGACACCGCCTGGTTAGTGGGCCAGCGTATTAGTCACCGAGCTGTAATTTTTATTGCATATCTCAGGGGCGAATTCAGCATTTCCGAATAGGGGGTATAGAAGTAGTCCTTTGATAGTGAAGTGAGCGCCCTTCAGTTAAATACAAATGAAATGAACTGGGGTTTAACGATCTACTTTTATGTAGGTTGATATAATGTGTACAATTTGCATATCTAGAACATATTATATATCTATCAATTTTGTTATATGGATTTTGGATATGACCTATATATATATCTGTAATATACATGTATCTTTCCTCAGCGGGGTCTTTTTGTCATAATTTGGTTGCAATAGAGAAAAGGCGCTCTTGTCCGTGATTAACAAGACACCAAGCCAATGATATTATATTTAGTTACCTGTCTTTTTGTAGGTAAATATCTCAACCATGGTAGTGCATTGATTGGAGATGACGTGTTTTCCATTTTAAAATATATTTCTAATGCATCTAAAAGTTCTTTAAACTTGGGGTCGTCATAATCAAATCTATAAATAATATAAATAATACACCTTGCTATTTTAAGAGAAATAAATCCTAACATGTATAGGAAGCGTGTTTGATAGTTGACTTTGATTTTGAGATTACATATATCGTATATCGTGAATTTCTAATATTTAGAGAACAATGACTACAGTATGTTACAAACGCAGAACCAATAAAATCATCGACGACAAATTCATAATCGTTCAGGTATGTACTGTACAGGGGCTACACCGAGCAGCCACACTACTACTAGCGAAGCAAGAAATTGGACTATTTTAACCGAGCATGCTAGATCTTTTAGTGAAGTTCAGATCAGATGTGAGAGTTTATCATGTCTAAATTACACACAGCTACCCATAGAGAAGAGATTTAATGTTACCATATTGTCTTGAAAAACGTGAATCGGAAAATCGTTATTTTTAAGGTATCGTCATGTATTGCATGTGAAGTTAGGGATTAAACAAGATGGCTCTATTGTAATATTCCTATACCACGGTAGGTGTGATTTACTTATAGTACCTTATATGTAATTCCAGTCGCCGACACAAAACGGGTGCTTATTGTGTGGAAGCCTATTGCGGCCATTTCATAAGTCGAGGGCGAGAAGTCGAAGGAGCGAGAAGTTGAGGCAATCTCGCCTTTGAGTATTTCTCGACTTCTCGATCCCTCGCTTCGTTACTATCTCGACTTCTTGCTCCCTTGCGTTCTCGCCTTGGTAGTACAATGTATGCCGATGTCCACTGGCTACCGCATCGGCATTTATATTTGAACATGTATTCCAATAGACGGACATATTTGGGGTTCTAGAAAGTTTAATAGTCCTAACCAATTTTAATCTGTTGATGTACAGATAGTATTGTATTCTGTACTCGATTTTAAGTCTTCAGTCGAATCTTTCTTTGCTCTCTAACTTCATCAACGTTCAGCAGGATTTTTCATGCGTGCCCCCCCCCCCACTTGTCAGTGGTGTAGGACAGAGGGCCTGGCAAGGGATACAAAAAAACGAGTTCCCGTGTCCGGAATAGGAATGAAGTGGGAGTTACGGTGGTTCAGTTAGTAGGACGTTTGCTCTCTAACTTCATCGGGATTTTTCATGCGTGGTTCCCCCTTGTCTGTGGTGTAGGACCGAATGCCTGGCAAGAGACAACGTATAGTCGTTCGGATGGGATAAAAAAAAAACGTGTCCGGAGTCGAAATGAAAATAGTGGGAACTACGGTGGCCCAGTGAGTAAGACGTTTGTTCTCTTACTTCATCGGGAATTTTCTGACTGGGTTCACCCTTGTCAGTGGTGTAGAATGGAGGGTCTGGCAACGGATAACGTATAGTCGTTCAAATGGGGTAAAAAAACGAGGTCCCGTGTCCGGAATCGAAATGAAGTGGGAGCTACGGTGGCTCTGTGAGTAGGACGTTTGCCCGCTAACTTCCTCAAAGTTCCTCGGGATTTTTCTGGCGGGGTTCACAGTAATTGTCATGGTGTAGGACGGAGGACCTGGCAAGGGAGAACGTGTAGTTGCTCGGATGGGATAAAAAAAACCGAGGTCCCGTGTCCGGATTCGAAATGAAGTGGGGGCTACGTTGGCTCAGTGAGTAGGACCTTTTGCTCGCTATCTTCATCAAAGTTCATCATGATTTTTCTGGCGGTGTTCGCCCTTGTCAGTGGTGTAGGGCAAAGAGCCCGACAAGGGACAACGAAAAGTCGTTCGAACAGGATAAAAAAAAAGCCAAGGTCCCGTGTCCGGATTCGAAATCAAGTGGGAGCTACGGGGGCTCAGTGAGTAAGACGTTTGCTCGGTAACTTGATCAAAGGTCGTCGGAATTATTCTGGCGGTGTTCACCGTTGTCAGTGGTGTAGGACGGGGGGCCTGACAAGAGACAACGTATAGTCGTTTGAATGGAATAATAAAAACGAGGTCTGCTGTTATAGCATTGGCATTATACTATATAAGGGCAACTTTCACCTTCACCGTTTTGAAGAACCTTTTGTTGACAATAATAATAATAATATAAATAACACTGGGTGGGGGGGGGGGGGGGGCTCAGGGAGGGAAAATAAATCCTCGAGCCCTCGGGCTATGTATACTCTTCCAAAAAAAAGTAGGGGATATTGAAATGCAAATACCTATGCAGGTTGTGATATGATAAATAATAGTCATGAACACTTGACATGCTTTGAGAGTATGTTCACAGATGAAGAACTTATCGCCCCAACAGAACCACTGCGTTGCACCTGCGACACACAATAGCGCCATACTCGGAGAGGGGGTTCATTGTCAAATTTGACACTTCAAGGAAGGGTTGATGAAAACTGCCGCTACTAATACCTAGAATATTAAAATATTCATATCTAGCACCTATGGAAGAGGCGATAAACTGCCTTTGCAAGAAAATGATTTTTTGGGAAAAAACGTTTTATGGGGCTAAAAATACGTTTTTGAAAAAAAAAATGTTCCTGCAACCGCAGTTTATCGCCTCTTCAATACAGAGAGAGAGAGAGAGAGAGAGAGAGAGAGAGAGAGAGAGAGAGAGATGGGGTTTAACGTCCACTCGAAACAAACTAGGTCATTTCGGGACTAACATATGGTTAAATTTTATTTCAATAATTCGCTTGCGCGTAGGGGTCTTTAGCAGTGAGAGGAAACTGGAGGACCCGGAGAAAACCTACGAGGTTGCCTCTTCAATACGTGCTAGGTATTAGTAATCTACGCATCCAGGCATAATTTTTAAATTTTTGGACCACGGGAACAGTGCCGTCAGACAGCATTTCCCGCAGTCTATTTTTCAAAATTTTCTGTGAAAGGTCTCCCATTTGGCGCTCGTGATTGGGCTTTGTCGAGGTTCGCAAGTTCGTTACCTCAACGATCAGTGCATGAAATACTGCCAGGCTACATTTCCGGCAGCCTGTTTTTCAAAATTGCCTGGAGGAGACCTCCCTACCCCTAGTTTGCCCCCTTAACCTTGGACTTTGCCCCAGCTTGGCCCCTCCAACCACCGACGGCTGGCGCCGCCACTGTTAATAACTGGTCTGAACTTGCCATTTTTCTAGAAATATATTTGAAATAAATTGGTCCTGAGAATAATTATATTCTGGAATTACGCAAATGGCTTTCTTGTTTAACTGGATTTCGACTTTATCGTCTATTTTGGACATTTCACTGTCAATAAAGGTGTGTGTGTGGGGGGGGGGGGGCTAGAACGACTATACGTTGTCCCTTGCCAGGCTCTCCGCCCTATACCACTTACAAGAGTGATCCCCACCAGATAAATCCCGATGAAGTTTGATGAAGTAAGAGGCCAAACGTCCTACTCACTGAGACATCGTAGTCCCACTTCATTTCAATTCCGGAAACTGACAAGAGTGAATCCATCCAGAAAAATCCTGATGAACTTTGATGAAGTAAGAGAGCAAACGTGCTACTCACCGAGCCACCGTAGTTCCCATTATCTTCATTTCGATTTCTGACACGGGACCTCGTTTTTTTCCCATCCGAACGACTAATCCAGATGAATTTTGATGCAGTTAGCGAGCAAACGTCCTACTCACTGAGCCACCGTAGCTCCCACTTCATTTGGATTCCGGACACGGGACCTCGGGTTTTTTAATCCCATCCGTAATACACCACTGACAAGGTGGAACCACGCATGTAAAATCCCGATGAACGTTGATGATGTTAGAGAACAAAGAACGATTCTACTGAATACTTAAAATTGAGTACAGAATACAATACTATCTGTCCAAGAACAGATTAGAATTGGCTAGGACTATTAAACTTTCTAGAACCCCAAACGTGTCCGTCTATTTGAATCCATGTTCAAATATAAATGCCGATACAGTAGTCAGTGGACATTGCACTTCCTAGGCAAGAACGCGAGGGGGCGAGAAGTCGAGATTACGACGAAGCGAAGAAACGACAAGTCGAGAAATATTCAAAGGCGTGATCGCGAGAAGCAGAGGATTCTCAAAGGCGAGAACGCGAGGGAATGAGAAGTCGCGGAGTCGAGGGCGAGTAGTCGAAAGTCGTGGGCGAGAGTGCGAGAACGCGAGGATTTTCAAAGGCGAGAATGCGAGGGTGTGAGAAGTCGAGGGATGAGGAAGCAAGAAGACGAGGTCAAAATAATCTCGTGTTCTCGGGGCGAGATTCTTCCATTCTCGCCTTGTTTTGAGATTATGAAATGGCCGCAATAGGCTTCCATAATAATGTCAGTGTGGGACGTTCCAAGTTGCATTTGAGTGACTATTCTACCAGTCACGATAACATGCGTTTCACTTATAGTGATTAGTCGAGATGGTGCCATAATTAGTTGGCGGATATCTTTTTCGGTCGAAATTCTGTGTGTACCAATTGCGTGGGGAATTCAATTATCGGTAATCAATGGAAAATCATTTTGGAATAAACATGAAAATTTCTTACCTATGTCCGAATAAAATACTACATGTTATATTAGTAATAGCGCGACTTAAATAGTATTTAATATGGAAAGGTTGGCGACTCGTCTCTTCTAAAACATCAATAATAGCTTTAACTTCGTCCTTTATTCTCTCTTCTATTGTCTGTTTACCTACACCAAAACCCCTCAAAGTAATTAACGACATTCTTCTTAGTGCCTCCCATTCTTTACCGTTGGCAAATATAACGCCTGAAATGTGTTCATAGAATTTTAGGTAAATCTACTTATAGTTTGGAACAGACGGATATAAAGATCAAGGGGTAAACTTATGAAATGTATTCCAATATTTTCAATGACATATACTTTATTCTAGTCATTATAAATTCTTCGCGTCCACATTAAAGGACAATATTGGTGCCAGTCATTATCACATATGTGATAGAGCTGGTTAAACACATTCCAAATAATATAATTTTAACACAGAGATCATTGCTACGATAGCTGAGTAATACAGGTTTTTCTGAATCGGAAGTGACTTCCGATTCAGGAAACCTTTATTACTCAGCTATGGTAGTAATGATCTTTGTGTTAAAATTATATTTGGAACGTGTTTAATTAGTTCTATCACATATGTGATAATGACTGACACCAATATTGTCCTTTAAGGATATTGGCTTGGCTTGTTTTGGGTAAAGTCGTACATGTAACAAAATGAACAATCGTCCGAGTGGGATTATTCGCTGTCTATAGGTTGTCTTCGACTAATATGCGACTACATATAATATCATGTCATGATGGTCTGGACAAAAAGCGCATATTTTATACATAATATTATAGATTTGGCGATCGACTTATCGTTGTTTGAGAGGAGAATAACCTTCACCGTTTATTTGCCATAAGCTGGATACCTACAATGTGTGCGAAATGAGTTACCATGTGTACATTAATATTCGTTGCATTCGAAGCGGGACAGCTATTTGCTCTATTCCGATAGGGCCAATCATATATCTACAAATACGATTGAAGCCATCGAGTGGTTTGGGAGAATATATTGAATATTCCAGTGAAATTTGTCATTATGTGAAATAATACTCCCATACTGAAAATTTCAGTCAAATTGCTTCATTCTCAACAATCGCCGATCAATTTAATAAAACAAAAGACAACCATCAGCCTGACATAAAACAAAAATAAGGGGTTGCCATGCAAGATACGCCCACATTTTGCAAGAGATGGACAGAGAAAGAGCTAAAAAAAAAAAATGTAATTTTTTTGTACAATCAGGGGCCATAATCCAGGGAGAGAGAGAGAAATGGGGTTTAACGTCCAATCGACACAAACTAGGTCATTTCGGAACTAACATATGGTTTATTTTTTTATTTCAAAAATTCGCTTGCGCGTAGGGGACTTTTAGCAGTGGGAGGAAACCGGAGGAAACCAGTTGACTCAATGACAGACAATGATACAGCGCGCGCGTGCTAACCATTCGGCCATTCGTGCTAACCATTCGGCCATCCAACCCCCCCCCCCACACACACACACACACACACACACACACACACCATAATCCAGGAAGATATGGTCCGATACGGTCTAAAGTGTCCACAAGCTAAAAATGTGATTTTTCGTACAACCAGGAGCCATAATCCATGACGTTTCGATCCGATACATGCCAACATCGAAAGTAACCGAGATCTTTTGGAGATAACCCTATGTTTCAAGTTTCGTCAAAATCGGATAAGAATTGAATTATGACCTATAGAGTGTCCACAAACAATTGTGGACGGACAGACGAACGGACCTCCCGACGTCTAGACGGACAGGAGCGACGACAGTATACGTCCACATGAAATTGTGGGCGTATAAAAAACACATATTACGAATATATACACACAAATTTTCTAGTCTTTTATTTATTCACCCAAGTCCGAAACGTTGTCAGACCGAGTCCAAAAGGTCGTCAAGTAAGTCCGAAAGGTCGTTTGTGTTGAGTACAAAAGGTTGTTTGTGCCGAGTCCGAAAGGTTGTTTGTGTTGAGTCCGAAAGGTCGAGGGGCCGAAATATCGTGATCTATTTTTTGCTTAGGAATTATGTTTAACTAAAATTTCAATAAAATCCAGATCCATCATTGTACAGTCAGCTACTTTACAGTCAGTAGCGTATGTAAACCTTGCAGCCTATGTTCACTTATTTATAATTTTTTATGAAATCTTTTGAATTTTGAATATGGTGTGTGGAATATCTATAACATATCTTTCCTTGTCGGTAAATTTTTGCAATACTTTGGGCAATATTGACAAAAAAACCACTGCTCTTGTCAGTGATTTATGTGGTTACATTAAAATAATATTTTTTGAGATATAATATGAGTGATCTGGAGTTTTTTGTTGGTTTTTTTTGTTTTTTTTTACAAATACAAAATAAATAAACAGACCAACTAAGGTTTTTCCTGACGAAAATTAAATCAAACGGATTCTACACTTTTTTTTGCCAAAACCAAAGAGATTTTGCACCTTTAAAGAGATATTAAATGAAGTAAGGGAGGCGTGTCTGGTAAAACCAGAGACTAGCTATGATCAACGGTGAATACTCAATTGGGATCAAGTGGTTTTTCGGGGGGATTCCATTGGACGTTCTGGAATTTCGGTCTACAACGGTACTCCGCCACTACAAATGTCTTGCAATTACATAGCTCTGTCAGGGGTAACCCACCACTAGAAATGTCTGTCAGAGTGTTTTTGTAATATCTGAAGATGTACGGTATACTGCTGTAAGATTTTCATGTGGTACACTTTTGAACTATTCTAGCCTAGTTGGGGGGGGGGGGGGCATTGCATTTTGGGCGTGGAATACCACACCCACCAACAGAAACCCGGTAGACGTACATTCGGATGATACCAGACATACATGCATTGATACCATATAGGAGAAAATTGGTACACTTTTTAGCTAGGTTGACCCACTGGGCTCCTGGTCTATAACGCGGCAGTTCATTACAACAATATTAATTTTCGTAATTTTAATTTTTGGGATAAGTCACCATTTTCTATAAAGGACTATTTGGCGTTGATCAGTTGGATTGGTATTTACGTGTGAATATCGCCGTGACCTTGACCTCAAATTTTACATCTAGCTCGGGACCTTTGCGCTTACGTGCTATGCCCCTATGTCTTAAGGAGGGGTAGGGAATTTATAATATTTTCATAACGTCACATTAATTTACAAAACTTCTTTTCTGGATGATGTAGGGAGCAAGTTCAGTCTGTCAGCTAAAGAAATAGGGAAAGCGTATTGCGTATCGCTATGTCGTGTGTGTGTGAAATACCTTTATTTAACGTCCGCTTCTACTTAAGTGATATCGCTGACAATTACATGTTATATATGGAAATAAATCATTTACAAAGTAATAATCATAAAAAATAGGATTAGTGAAAAAATATATATACGTGTATATGCCTGTAACAAGCCTATATTGTACGAAAGTACTAGGGTTTTTTGATAACGCTGTATGGAAAGGTAACTGTGTATATTAATATTATAATAGAAATACAAGAAGGTCGGATTAACGGATTTTCATGTGAATGGCGATGGAAATCTGTTAGATTTATGGTTCATCTTCCAGAACGTCTAAAGTGTAACCCTTCGCACTAATGGGCGGACTGTCAGATTTATGGGTCGTTGACAAAATAGCAAAAAGTCTGAAGAACAAATTACAATATTAGTAGAAGGTCGTGATAAAGGATTGACCTATATACGGGACTTTAAATGTGCATTTAATGCTAGAAATACGTACTCGGATTAACTGACTCTTGTAGTTAGGAACGATAGAAGTAATAGACTGCAGGGTGGTGCCCTAGCATCGGTAAAGGTCGATGCTGGCCTTTCACAATGGTTATGGGGTTTCAGTTTTCTGTAACACGGCCTTGACCCACGACTTTGGCCCAATTATCTTTACCGGGGGTGGGGGGACATCTTCTCTGCTTCCACGCAGACAATAAACATTGATAATACAGCAAGAAACAGGGCTATGGCTGGCCATGGCACACCTAAGCGCAAAGGTCCAGAGCTCGATGGGAAGTTGGGAGTCAAGGTCATGGTTGATTAGCGTTGTTGACTGGAGGTCACCATGGCCTTTCATATAGACCACGCCCATTGACCTCTTTTCGAACACGGAACCTCTGCATTTAGTCATTTTCTGGCCAAGCAGTGTGTGAAAGTACTGTCATATACTCCTTTACTAAACCAACTTATTCACATTATTAAGGAATAGTGGTCTGAAACCTTCTTGAGTTCTTTGCGTTAATTGAGTTACTCCCCTTGATTAATAAAAGGCTTTGTAAGTTATGATAATATTAACTTCACTTCTGAGTTTGATCAAAATAATGTTACATCATCAAGTAATATTAAGTCTGTTTTCAAGTCACAAATTGATTTGTCCAAAAGTGTGCTTGATCTTTCTCAAAAAGACAGATTCTACGATATATTGTGTAAAAATCGGGAAGCTTTCAGTCTTCATGGTGAAATTTGAAAATGCCCTGACATACAAGTTGATATAGAAGTAAACGACAATCGCCCTTTCTACATTCGTCCTTATCCAAAAACAGAAGTTCAGAAAAAGATTGTGGATCAGGAATTAGAAAAGCTTGTCAAACTAGGAATTTTAGCTGTTGGTCACCAGTCATATACATCACCAGTTCCCATTCTACCTAAGAAAGGTACTAAAGAAAAGCGTGTTGTTGTGGATTTCGGGTATCTTAATTCAAAAATCAAACGTCTTAACCACCCATTTCCTCTATTATCGGACACCTTAAAGAGGATTGGTCATGATAAACCTAATATTATAAGTTGCATAGATCTGAAATCAGCATTCTTTTCACATCCATAGAGCCCAACAATATACGGGTATTTCATCATATTCTGGAGGCAAACACTTTTACTTTAAACGGTTAACGCAAGGCTTGAGTGTCTCGCCAGCAGTTTTCCAATCTAAAATTGATGAAATATTATTAACAGTTTCTGGTAGTTATTCATTTTGCATAGCCCATCATGACGATATTATCTTATTCAGTAAAGACAACGACGCTCACAAGAAGCATTTACAGTTAATTTTCAGTGCCTTAATTCAAAATGGACTCAAAGTTACACCAAGAAAATGCTCATTTTTCGGTCATGAAGTGGTCTATACGGGTCATAAGATTGCGATTAATAAACAGGGTTTAGTCACACTGCAGCCTTTGTCTGATAGATGT